TTTTTTTTTTTTTTTTTTTTTTGCTTTTTAATTCAAAATTTTGTAATCGAGAATTTGTGGTTTAGTGTAAACTACAGTTTCGTTCATCAATGGACAGATTACTTGCAAAAAAAAAAAAATTTTTTTTGTCACGTCATTTAAAAGATGACAGAAGGTCAACGGGGTGGGCAGGAGAAAGGTGCAGTGTTGGCGGGTGGGATGATAGTTGAAAAATGATTAGGTGTAAAATTGAAAAGTATGGTTAGTGCAAAAGAGACTTTTTTTAGCGGTTACATGATGAACAACAGTTATTAACAAAAAAACTGTTGAAAAACTTGTTTGATACGTTTATTTTGTTGGACAAAAAATGACTACGGGAATAGTGAAAAATAATTTTCACCTTCTGCTTTTTGCATTTCTTTTTTCAAAAAAAAAAAGTGTCTTTTGCAAACCAGTAAGATTGCAGCAAATGTTTTTCTTTCGGCTTTCTATTTGTCCATTTTACCGTTTTTCAAAATTTTTTGATATTGTTAAAAATTCAACTTGGAGAGAAAAGTTGGTGGAACTGAACAATGAAAGCCCTATTCAGATACATACAAACACACAAACGTACAAAAAAAGATGTATTTTTTTTTAAAATTTTTTTATATTTCTCAGCTTCAACAAAAACACTTGGTTTTCTTTTCTGTACTTTCTAACCGGGTGTTGAGTTATTGTAAATAATGACAGGTTCATATATTATAGTTGTTTCTCCCCGACACAGATTTGCGTGTCTGACTAAATTAGTGTTGCAAAAAGTGCATTTTGTCGTTATCATTATCTTCAACGACTTCTACGACTTTGTTTAAAAAGCTTTCAAAAGACATTGTTTTGTCATAAAAACAAAATTTCCTAACTAATATACGAATTATACGTTTCGGTGTCAATTAATTTCTGTGTAAACATCAAAAATATCAGCCAATTTTTGTAACCAATGCTGGTTCTTGTTTTTACATTTGGATTTTTTTTTATTTTGTAGATAAATTCTTTAAAAAAATATGTTTTTTTCTGTTTTTGTTAATTATTTCAGTTTTGGTGATGGTATGGTGTTTCTGACACCGTTATTGTTCGTTCATTTTATTTCTTACCAAAAAAAAAAAAACTATCCTATATCTTTTTTTCAAAGGTATACGATACTGTGTTAGCCAAAAAAAAAGTATAACATAACATATTTTACTCATTTTCTTTCAAATTTTTTGAAAATTTTAAAAACTTATTCTTTAGCCATTGCCGTTTTAAAGCCATTTAAAAACTTAATCTTTAGCCATTGAGCCATTCTTTAGCCATACGTTAATTTAAAGATTACACTTGACATTTTTGCACTGCTACACCAAAAAATTTTTTATTTTTATTCTCTTTGCCCTTTCAAAATATTTTATTATTGTTTTCCTTTTTGCCTTTTGATTTTTTTTTTCAAATAATAAAACAACGTTTGCATCCATGTAAAGCAGATATGGTGGTACCTGATCGTCTCAAGATTGCTGCCGTTGAGGCACCGGTAACACCAGAAAATGAACGTCGTACAAGAAACGGAAAATTTACGTTGAGGCAGCTAAGACAAACCGATGGAATTGTGCCACTACAGTCGGGCACCAATCAGTTTGATTCACAAAAGGTTTCACAGTAATAAATTCGTTTTTTACTGATAGGTTGCCAGGAAAAAAAATACTTTTTCTTTTTTTGCTTTTCAAACAGTACAAAAAACTTTTGATGCTTGACAAAAAATGAGAAATCGAGAGGAAAAAATAAGAACAAAAGGAAGAAAAAAAAGCAAAGTGAAGCAGAATGATAGCTGATTTGTAGAAATATTTACGTAAATGCTTTTTTGTTGTTAATCGCAAGCTTCAAATTTGCGATCATTTACAGGGTAAGACAGGTTTTGGAATGCCACGAAATACTGCTACTGCCGTAAACTTTGCTGACAGAGGGAAGAAATGGACAATTGAGGATTTACGGGCAAGCGACTCAATTGTTAGACTTCAGTCGGGAACTAATCGATTCGAATCACAAGCAAGTTTTCATCTTTTTGCATCTCTCTACCAACAATCGGTACACTACCTGTTATGTCTAGTGTTTTTGAGC